ATAATATGGTATGTTTCTTGTTTAGGAAGAAATTATTTCAACAAAATTGAAATAACTAATATCATATTTATTTTATTATTTTTCCTCTCAAAAGAAAAAACTTTGACCAGGGCACGTTTTGATTGATATGGGCCTGAGTAGGTCGATAATTCAGATCATTTCTATGGTTCAGCGACGCACTTTTCATGACAGCGCCGCTGTCGGAATATCGCGGAACTAAAATACTGCTCAGTTTCATGGCTACACGTCAATTTCACTCGTAATATACAAACGAAATTTTTGTACACGCCTTTCTCTTATACTAAAACTCCTATCGCGTTTCTAAAAGCATAGGATTGTTCGTTTCGGTTTTCCGCAATTTGCCAGCTACTTTTCATGAACGTGCAAGATCTGAAACTCTTATATGCAATACATATTGTGATGTTGATTACAGAAGCCGATAACAAAACTGTAAGTCTTTAATTTTCTTTCGTTTTTCGTATTCAAATGTAGCTGGCGACTTGCGTTGTTGTCGATACTTTAATTGTGGAGAAGGATTTTTCAATCCATAAACTCAGTTACGAGAAAGGCGTTTTTAAAATTTAATGATAAAACAGGACACTCCAGCATCCCCTTAAGAACATGATGTGAAGATTACTACTCGAATTCATAAAGATCTTCATGTAAAGAAAGTTGCGGAACAGCGTGGTAGCGATGCAGGCGATGATGCAGAATGTGTATACATATATGGCATCCACAGTGCTCAGCAGGCCGTCCGGGTTCAACGTGAAGATCAATCCAAGAAAACTATTATTGTATGTTCACAAATTGTTTGACATATACTAATATTTTCAATATTCACATCCTCCAAAGTAGTCCAGTATGATAGCCAGTAATTCCCGGTAGTGGCGACCTGACTGATAATGAAGATCATCAGCAGTACAAATAGGATGAAATTATTATCACCGTTATGCAGATATTCCTTGTACACTCTGCCGGCTACTCGACCGTGTACCGTCATCTCAGCTTCTGGAATGTTCTCCACATAATCCGAATCATCAATGTCCGAGTGCTGCACGATGACAAAATAATATCTTATTATTTGAATTTATCTCTCAATAGATGTAATCTGATGAAGTTAATTTAGTTTAAATTATTTAAAAACGAAGAAAATAATGCTAAGAAAATTTGTAGATATTTGAAAACTACTTAACTTTTTTTAATCTTAAAAACTTCTTCCGCGCTTTATTAATTGATAATAATTAATGAAGATATATTAGAAATCTTTAATGCGCGAAAATATTGATATTTTTTAAAATTACAATATATTATATTATTATTTTTATTTATGTTTTTCTATTTTTATTTTACATTTGTTTTTGTGTTATCTATTTTTATTAAACAAATATAATGTAAAATATTTTCTTTTTTCAGTTTCTATATTTTTTTATTATATTGTAATAACGATCATCTTACAATGATGGAATTTGTAGTCGAGAATCTTGATATTCGTTTCGTTATTGTGATTCTCTTAGACATTTCCGAAGCTCTTCTCATGTCCTTCTCTTTTCTCTGCGCTTGATTCAAATTGTCCAACATCTCAATCTTTATTTGATTGTACTAATTCGTTATAATTTCCTTGCATTTTCACGAACCCTTAGGAAAACAAAATCAGGATATTTAATTTAAAAGATATTTAAACTTCATCTTTTAATTAATTATACGTAAATTACATATAAATTAAATGTAAAATTTAAAAGTTTCTTATCATTTTTTATTAAAAAAAATCTTATTGTTTATTAATTTTAATTATAAAATTATCCAATTTTTATGTGTTATTAATAAAATAATATCTATTTTCATAACAATAAGAAAAAATTAAAAAATTATTCATTCAGCAATAATTAAATTTGCTTTTGTCATTATTATATCTAAATTCTTTACTTTTAAAACAAATTAAAAAACAAACTTTTAAAATTAAAATTTTTTTAATTTAATAATGATAACTAAAGAATATTCTATGTTACTCGATCCAGTACGACGATGTGGTCCGCCCTTTTAAGGAATTGCAGTTGATGTGTGACAAGTATCCTCGTCTTGCCGTGGAGATATTTGGTAATGCACTTCCCATAGAGATGCCTAGCAATACGAGTATCCACCGCGCTCAAGGGATCGTCGAACAAATAGATATCCGCTTGTCTATAAACCGCCCTCGCGAGATTGATTCGCGCTCTTTGGCCACCGCACAGAGATACATCTCTATCGCTGACCATTGTCATGTCTCCCTGCGGAAATTGTCGGAAATCCTTCGTCAAAGCGCACACATTTGCTACCTGAAATATTTGTCAATTAATCAAAAAAAAACTTTAAAGAATGTTAAAAATTTCAAAATTAAGAAATATTAGACATGTTTCTTTTATCTGAATGGAATCACATATAGATTAAAGATTCAGAAATTCATAACACTAAAATATATCTTCTTTTATATTCAGTCACAAAGACGTAATTCATGTTTAATAATTAATGCGTAAGATTTAAAGGATCTAATTGTAAGAATTGTCACTAATTACACATAAAAATTCTTGATACTAACGTGCAGGAATATATAAACACTGTACAATATCGACAACAATTATTTTGGACCATGAAAATTATCTGCATGTATCTAGCCTTGTCGTAGGATTAGCCAAACAATACATTGTCCCTTACAGTATCACCGAAAAGCCAGGGTTCTTGACTGGCATAGGAGATACGCAAATTTGGATTGTTCGTGAAGTATCCAGTGAATAAATTGCCCGGAAAATTATACTTCGAGGAGTCCCGAGTAAGGATTATGGAACCTGCCGGGATTTAATTCCTTCAGTAGTAGATGTAATATAGACGATTTGCCAGAGGCTACTGCACATCGACTACAGCACACAATTGACCTGGCTTGATAGTTAAGTTGATATTGCATAAAGTCGGCGGCAATTGGCCACTGATCCATTTGGCGGAAACCCGCTGAAGCTTTACGTATATCGGAAGGTCAGATAATCTTTGATGTTCGGACAGAACGATACTCCCATTTCTTGAGATGTAGCTGTCTATTTGATTCTCTGCATTAGATTCTTCCTTTGATTTCTGAAATTTAAACTGCAACTGCGGCGTGTTCTCTGAGAAGCGTCTCGTGTTCACTTCGTCCATCAGCAAAAAATCCTGTAAAAATTAAGCTTACTTCAATAAGTACATGACAATAAAGATATAAGAATGATTGTAGATTTAAGTTCATCATAAATTAGAAAATAATCTGATAATTTACCTCCAATCGATTAAATCTATTCACTATTGATTCATCCAGCAATATTAGCCCTTGCGGAAAGTACAACGCAACGACTAGATGAAGTATATTAAAGTATGTCAACATTTAAAGTATATGACATAGGTCACATCGGCAGTCAAATTATTTCCCATTAAGACGAACGTTATCAGGATGAAATAGACAGTCAATCGTTTAGTGAAGACTATGATGGCCAAATATGTGGCGCGCACATAAGAAGAGAATTTAATTTGCTTGATCTCCAATTTTCTGATTACTGACACAATCTGGCTGAATGGTTTCTCCCAGGCGTACATCTTCACTACCTGAACCGAGAATTACCATCTCATACATTTGTTCCATAAAATTTTTTTGTAAGTGATATTTGGATGTTAATATTATATCTTTATTCTATATCGTTAAAGAATAAAATAATTAAACAATTTCTTGAGGATATCTGTATCCCAGCTATGAGTTCGCTCGTCAGTTGCACTCTTCAGTCAGTGGCGCAATCATGGTGGCGCATTCTAAGTTTGAGATTCAAGAAACTCAAAGTCCCTTATCCTGGGAGGATGAAGATTAACAACGTCCCGATGCCGACAAAACTCGAAATACCGACTTTTTGCCACATTATTGTTCCTATGATCGCGATCTGCACGAATAAAAATAAAGCCTGGTCAGCTTGAACAGACAATTATTAAGAGTAAGTTCGAAACAAATGAAAGAAGAGGTCCTACGTCTTTACAGTTTAAACTAACTCACGAAGTTGTAAAATGCATATAAATAGCTTATATGCATATATAATCGATAATAAGTTTTCTACGAATTATATTACAAATATTAAAATTTATATTTATCAAAAATCTACAAAAGAGATTAATAAATTTAAGTAACTTTTTTCAAGAGTATGATCAAAGTGCTGTTTAATTACCGCGATACACGAATATTTTCACGAAATAAAGGATTACCATAAAAGGCATGATCCATATGTAATTCAGGTACATTGTTAATTGATCGAAGCGAATAACATCATTGCTGAGAAGATTCATGATCTGTCCGGTTTGGTTCATGGCTGCTGTGTTCAACCGTAATAACTACAATAGTGTTGAAAAAAAATTATAAATTGAGTAATAGATCTTTTCACTTTCTTTCGTTCCGTCCATACATTCATCAATACATATAAGCACAACATGAATTTTTCTTTGATTTTTACAAAAAAGAAGATTTTTACACAAAACTCTCTTTATGAAAATTGTAAAAAAACTGAATAAAGCAGCTTAATACACAGTGCGACAAATATTCCCGGACAGGGCCTGAAAATCATAATTGAAACAACATATGCATATTTTTTGGTTTTATTAGGGGTTTGCATTAAAAGCCACTGTTCACGTTTAGATGGAAGTAACTGCGTATGCTATGGTCAGAGACATCTGCTACTTATATCATTTTTAAATGTGAACATTTCCTACTAAAATTCAGTCAACAGACGTCATCCTTGTTTACATATGTGCTTTTCTATAACTGAATTAAAATGGAACGTGATAAGTTTTTTTTCCGATGTGTACTTTTACACTATTTTGATTTGAAAAAAAGTGCAGCTGAAACTCATCGATTGCTTGCGGAAATTTATGGTGAATCTGCTCCATCGGAAACAGTATGTAGAGACTGATTTCGACGATTCAAAAGTGGTGATTGTGACGTTCACGACAAACAACGAACAGGTCACCGAAAAAATTCGAAGATGAACAACTGCAAGCTCTATTGGAAGAAAATCCAGCTCAAACACTCAAAGAATTGTCTCAACAACTGAAAGTCGATAAATCAACTATTTTTCGAGCTATGGGAAAGATTCAGAAAGAAGGAAAA